CTCATTTGGACCTTGAGCCGTTTGGTTCCCATTGAAGTCCATTATATGGAGAAAATCCTGGAATGTTTTCATCAAAAACCTTAATTTCTTTTCAACTGAGGAAAGAAAGACATGGACATCTTGGATGACATGGGGGTGAGTAAATTATCAGCAAAAGTTTTCTTTAAAAGTGAACTACTCCTTTAAGGGACAACCGCCTAATAATGTTGTTAATGTTAATAAAACAACAAAAGAAAGTAAATGAAGCTTCATCTGTTGTGAAGTCACAAAAATGCTGCATTGTAGTCTACAGATCTGCCTTATGTGTACATGACTCGCTCAATCTGTCAAAATCGAGGGGTGGAGGGTCTGTCCAAAAACTTCCCTCGCCCACTTCAAGTTGAACGCACATCAAAATGTCATTGGGGATTCCACAGAGGGGAAGTGCTTTAGGAAGTTCATGAGTTGATGTCTAAAAGTGGAGTTAAAAACAGCCCAGATGATCTCATCCTCTTTACTATTGTTGGCAGCGTTAAATAAATAGCTATGAACATCAGAAAGCATGATGAAAGACGCAACTTATTGAAACGTATCATGTCTCATGTAATCACTTAATAATCAGTGTTTCAACTGAGGAAAGAAGTCAATAAAACAGCTTGAAAACAATGTTACATTTATAATTTATAAATAAGAGTATTTTACTAAACATATGCACTATTACATCTTATTTAATAAATGTTTGAGGGTGATTCTTCAACTATGGTACTCTTTGAGCTAGACAGTTTCAGAAAATAAAAACATTCCTACAAACAGTTTTTTAGTATCAGTTGGTTTCTCAATCTGTCTAGAAACCTTCCCTTAAATTGGGTGTGATGATTTGTATTGAATAGACCATTTCACAAGATGTAAACAACACTGGTCAAGAAACACTTCCTGTTTCAGTTTGTAACTGTTTTCTTTATTTCACATGTAAAGAAAACATCTTAAAGATGTTTGTTTAACTTTTTGATTCAGTTTTAAATGTTCTGTTGGTTGTATTTTATCCCAGCTTTTATGTAGTGTTGAAAAACTGAAACAGGAAGTGCTTCTGGACCAGTGTTGTTTACATCTTGTGAAATGGTCTATAATATATATATATATATATAGGCATTTTTATCTGACAGCCCTAAGAAAACACCCAAGTTCTCTTATTTACCAACCATATTGTAGCAATAATAAATAATAAAATATTTCTTACTATCTTAACTTAATTAATTGTATGTTTTTTTTTGTTTTTACATTAACGTTTTAGTATTATAGCCCAAAATAATTTGCTGTTTAGCATGAACAATGTCATTTCCACCACAACCTGTATTTACCGCCACAATGAACACCGTGGTGGAAATGACATTTACCCCCTTTTCCTCTAAAATATCATGCTATGTTAGCCTGTTAATATTAGTATTAAAGTTAGCATTAAATATAGACAAATTACACATTATTAAATTGATTTTATCCAGTTATTTTTACGTCCATGTGAAATATGAGCCATTTGGAAATGACGGCCAATAAACATATTCTCAGTTTTAGTCATATTTACCTTGATTTTTCTTCTTTTCAATACCCCCTAAAGAGGTCACCCTTTCACCCAGCCATGTGTTCACTGTGGAGTTTCTATTGCTATGGTTACTAAGTATTCAAACTTAAAACAATGATCCCAGGACTCTATTTTGTACAGTGTGGCGGAAATGACAGTGAACCCAAGGGACAAGGGTTGTACTTATGAAAAACATAAGAAAATGTGAGTAAATATTGCAATATATAATATGTATAATTGAAAGACATTATTTTATAATTTCTACTTAAAATCTATATTATTTAAATATTTAATTTAGTATTAAGCGAGGTTGAAGGTACAAAGTCTGGCTTAGGGACAGGGGGAAAACAGTAAAAAATCATGCATAAAAGGCCTCATAATATATAATAAAAAGAATGATTGACATGATACATTTTTTATAAGTTCCCCTTAAGTCTGACAAAAACAAAAAAGAAGAATTTTTTTTTTTAGATTTTATTATTTAATCCAGGGACAAGAAAAGTACCATAGTTAAAGAATCACCCTTGAATAATTCTTGCATGAGAAGCTATTGACAGTCACAGCAACCATTTAAATGTTTATATTTCAACAACACATAGGAAGTAACAATTAAATCATTGCCTTTTGCAAATAAATGTTTGCATATAACTCAGATTTAGATCATCATTTAAAAAAAATAAATAGCAATTGAATGTTAAAGTTTGTTGTAATTCTAAACCTTTTAAATGATATTAACTGTACCAATATACAGGGTTTCCAGCCTGCCCTGCATAGTTTACAGCATTGGTTGAAATTTTTTTCCCGTACGAATATAAATCCAAATGAATCGAATCTAGATCGGATTCGAATCAAGAACAAATCCAAATCAATACCCAGCCCCGTAATCCAATCACAAATTAACAAACTCTTCAGACCCTCTTTTAACCATTTTTGAGGCGGGTATAAAGTATGTGACATTGCAGACGAATCAAATGGCTTCGTTTCTTTTTCCACAGTCACTTAGCAATGCAAAACACAGCAGCACTCGTCATTCCCTCAGTTAGCTACAAGTACATCCTTGTTATTGGTTAAATCTAGCAGCTAATGAGCCGAAGAATCCCACAGTTCGTTGCTGGCCACATCAAATGGATCATGCACGAGCCCTTTGCTCTTAGGAACACAAGATGAGAAATCTGAATCTACTTCGCAAATTCCCGGAATAGCTACAGAAGGGTGACAGCTTTGCTGGCTTCATCCAAAGCCATGTGTGTCTGACGGCTGAGTCACACACCAGCGGCCTATAGTCAATTCGCACCATTTATCTTGAAGAAGGCCTCAGGGGTTCCTCGGATGAGCTCAAGGCACAAGATGATAATGATGTCCAGCATCAACAGGGTGTGAGAGTTAATGAGTTCTTCGTAAATGTAATCGCTGAACTTATACTATTCATTTGAAAGTATCTGTTATACTATTCATTTGAAAGGGACTTTGAAAATGTTTCTCACAGGTTTAAAACCAGCACAATCTTGAAACATACTTCAGACTGCGATAAAGAGTTTTGAATGGAAGAACATTTCAGTGGATCTTCTCACTGCCATGGGTAAATGATGCATATGAATGACAGGTTTAAAATGTATAAATCATATCATTAAAAGTCATGACAAACTTAAACATAACGTTTGCGAGCGCCTATGTCAAAGAGGCAACTATGTCAAAGAAGGAAAAATTCCATTGCTGTGTTATACTGTATAATCCATCATCTTACTGCACAACCTGGCTTACTAATATTTCTAGGTCGCCTCTATGCAGCCTGCATTCGGAGTATGAATTTAGGAGCACTACCATAGAGGTTTTCATTCCAGTTTGAAGGTAATAAAATCATGCTTATGTATCTCTAGTATACTTACAGGTGATGTTAACCAACTGACATTTCACAATGTCATGTTTTTAAACCACCATAATCATCTCTAACCAATGGACACGTACATTAAGATTACTACAGCAGGGCTGCTAGACTGGCTTGACTAAACAAGCAATAAAGAGGTCAGATGTTGAGGTATGACTGGTCACTGGTTCAGTTTGGGAGAGCTAGCTAAAGCCGGTATTAAAACACCTGTCTCTGTCGCATATATCTGGTTCACAACTTACATTTAAAATGATTTGCTAATGTTTAGGGAGTTTATCTTCTTAACGTGAATGTTAAAAAGTATTGGTAAGGAAACACACGAATAAACGGACTAGTAGACGATTAATCTGCCGCTTGCTAACCAGTTAGCAACTAGCATACATGCTAACACGATAAATCTGCATGTTTTTGGCCCAGCGCAATTTAAAACTGAAAATTAACAACTGACCCACACAACCGACTTAACAAACAAACCTGTCTTGATATTCCACGACTAAATAATGCCCTATAACAGCTTAAGCCCGAGTATAGCCGCGATTATCTCGTGAATATTGAAGGGAAATGAGTGTTTAAAGAGGCCTCTATGTAGGCCGCGCCCGCTCCGCATGATGCTCTTGCTGGGTCCACAAACACCCGCTCCGACCTGACACCATAAAACCAGAACTACAGAGACTCAGGAGAAGGAAAACGAACTGGGGGGAAAAGCCCGGAGTCCAAAGTATCCGGTGGACTTACCTCCACATCTCGCCCCTTGTTTTTGAAGCTCTTGATGCGATGGTTTTCCAAGCCGGCGTTTTCGGCCATGGCTCTGTGTGTATGTGTGTGTCTGTAGTGACTCCCGACCGACGCGCAGAGGAGCTCCGCTCAGGGAGGAAGAGGAGGAGGAGGAGGAGGGCGAGGGGTGTTTCGATGTACGAGACGTGAATGAATCATTCACTTGAGTCGGATCTTCTTTAATGAACTGCTTCACAAAATTAGCGTTACCCACCGACTCATTGAACCGCACCTTCTTTTTCTGAAATATTACAAATAGCCTATAATGTCCTAGAAGTGAAGATATGTTTATGAATCACTTAAATGATTTATATTTAATACGTTTTATCAACACATTTTATAATAATGTTAATCTGTTTTATCAAAAAAATCTGTCGAGCTAATTTTATGTATTGTATATGGAAATAATATTTTCTATGTACATGCACTCTATGAGCTGAATCATGCATGCATAATTGAACTGAAACATGCAATTGTGTGTGCTTTGTTTGATCATTTTAGATCAGATACCATGGCGGGATGTTAATGACCATGGTGAGTTAAAATAATGTTTAAATATTTAAAAGTTAAATTATATATATATATATTAGGGCTGTCAAACAATTAATCGCAAATAATCGCATCCAAAATAAAAGTTTGTGTTTACATATGTGGGTGTACACTAGACAAGCCAGTACGCTAGACAAGCCAGTGAGATGATGGTCGTTCAGTAGAAATTTGTATTTTGATAATAAACAGTAACATTTAAGTCTTAAATTAAGGTATTTACCACAGAAAACATCTATATGCACAGGTGACAAAAGTAAAACATTTATTACTAAATGACACAAGACAAAAATAAGACCTGTCAGATTAGAACGTACAAAAACACATCACATTCAATATTCATTAGTTTAAGACAATTTTGTAATTAATTACAACAAACCACAATTAAGGAACACAGACAATCAGATATAATTTGAGACTAGGTAAAATATGAAATATGAACTCTTGAATTTTAAATATATGTCTTTGAAGAGCTTGAACCAATCAAAATCATTATGTTTCTGTTTTGTGGGCTGCAGATCAAACATCAAACAATATGAAAACAAATAAAAACAATGAAAAGAGCTTTTAACCGTACAGTATTTTGAGTCAGTATTAGCATCTTGAGTCAGCACCACTTTGTTCTCTTGAAATGTAGAAAGTATAAAGCTTTGATTGTCATCTGTAATTTGTGTACTTTAAATACATCAGAAAATGTACAGTGTTTGACGAAGTGCAAGTTAAACGTGTGCACAGATGCTATCACTCACTGAGTTCATCTTAAAAACATAGGATGACTTGAAAGAGCCCAGATTTACACAAGTCAAAATCACAGATGACATTTCAATTGAGCCACACAATATTTAGAAATTATTCATAACCATAGCACTTCAGATCCCAGCTGTGGAGTACATATCTTTAGTTTATATACAAGATGTCATGAACTTTAGAAGATCTGTTGTTCAAAAAGAATCTTCTGGTAGCCTTGTGGAGGAGTATGGTAGAAGTCACTAAACTGACAATCCAATATTGCACTATCATCCACTGTGAGGGACAAGACAAAGGCATACATGTTAAGATGTGTTATTAAACAAAAACATATACTTAAAAATGACCAAAAATTGGTGAAAAATATTGTTGTCTATTTGAACTCTTCATATAAGCAAACTCAACCCTTTCAATGTATATATACAAAATATTTTTTTTCCTATATTTTAGTTTAAAAAAAGCTGCATCCATAGATTTTTCAGAACTTTACCAAATCAGACAATGTTACAAGGTCTTCTTTAAAGCTTTAAATATATATTTACAGCAGAGGAGGAAAGATAGATGTAAATATTGTGCATCAAATAACATTAAATTAAAATAATTCATGACTGACAATTCTGTGCAACTCATCACAAACTGCAGAGTAACAGAATAAAACTCAAGGCAATCCTGTAAATGTGTTACTTGAGTAACAGAACAAGTCTTCTCTCAAAACTACACTTACAATAAAACAAAGATGTTAGCGTTTAGTAATAGTTATTAATCAATTTTATATAATACTCACCATAAACGACAGGATAAACGGTTCCTCTGATGCCAGATGCCGGACAGTTCATATTCTTTCCGTTTAGGTACAAATTCAGCTCCACGTGGTCATACGTAACACCCTGCATTCACAGAAACAAATTAGATACATAAAGTTATTACACACAAAAGGGCATCCAAGATGTAGGCGTCTTTGTTTCCACAGTAGTTTCAATTTTGATATTTTTAGGTCAAACCATTCTTGTCTGTCAGTCATATAATGGAGGTCTATGGTCACCACCTCAAAGAGCATGCACAGAGAAGTCCAAATAAACATGATTTAATGACTCGTAAATGTAAGTACACGTTGATGGCCCAAGACACGAAATGAGCGGTTTGAGTGAGAAAACGAACAGTATTTATAGACCATTTCACAAGATGTAAACAACACTGGCCCAGAAGCACTTCCTGTTTCAGTTTTTTAACACTACATAAAAGCTGGGATAAAATACAACCAACAAAACATTTAAAACTGAATCAAAAAGTTAAACAAACATCTTTAAGATGTTTTCTTTACATGTGAAATAAAGAAAACAGTTACAAACTGAAACAGGAAGTGCTTCTGGACCAGTGTTGTTTACATCTTGTGAAATGGTCTATACCGTTTTTACCTCTTGTAATCAAAGTCAGGTCAAGGTTCTCTGAGGGCGAGGGCGCTTCTGTCTGCGCAAGCGCGCCGGCAAGCACCGGAAGTGATATCTGTGCATGTACGTCACTCATTGTTTACACAGAGATTTCAGAAGTGTTACCCTTCCCTGGCCTCAGATCACTTGGACGTTTCGTTCTCTCACACAAACCGCTCGTTTCGTGTCTTAGGCCATCAATGTGTACTTACATTTACGAGTCATTAAATCATGTTTATTTGGACTTCTCTGTGCATGCTCTTTGAGGTGGTGACCATAGACCTCCATTATATGACTGACAGACAAGAACGGTTTGACCTAAAAATATCAAAATTGAAAATACTGCGGAAACAAAGACACCTACATCTTGGATGCCCTTGAGGTAAGCTAAAACATACCAAAAATTAATTTCAAAGTGAACTATCCCTTTAAGATGGATGGATGGATGCACTTTTTGGGGCATAAAAATCTATGACACCATTCACTCGCAATATACAGCTTGGAAGAGCCAGGATATAGGCAGCAAATCCCAAATTCAGTCCAGAATGAAAGCACACACAAATAGATTTATTTACCAATAACAAATCCCATATTAATTTGACATTAACACTATTGCCACTGATACGCACCACAATATCTCCTTCCTGTGGTAAGCTGTTAGCAGGTAATCGGTTCTTTTCTTCGTTGTTGTGGTACACGGTGCCATCTTGCCTGAGCACAAGGCTGTGTGGGTCTCTACCCATAGGGATCTGGTTTAGATTTGCTTTCTTAGTCGCCACTCCTAATCCCCACACACCTGCGAGGGGCAAAATTCACTGCAGTCACACCCAATGACTAAGATGAACTATTGACAATCTTTTTTTTGGTCTAACAAACAGTAAATGCTTGCACACATCTTACCTGTGGACTGAATCTTGAACTCAAAGTAGCTTTTGTTTTGATGGAGAGGGGCGTTTGCAATGCACCCACCCGTCCCACATATTCGTCTTCCACTCTTTACAATGACAACATCAGTGCCTGAAATATCATGATAATAATTATTTACTGAGATGACAGAGAGAACAAAAATGATTACTACCATTAATTCATGTGCTCTTATGCTATTGATTTTGATTCATTCTACTAAGTTACTACTGGTGACTTATTATTTTTTAGTGAAAAATACCATGAAATTCCGAGCGAATTATCTACACGCATATTGTTATTAACGTTACAGATGCTAAACTCAAATATCATACTCTCGAGTCTGTACTGAAATGATCGCAACACTTTAGTTTAATGTATGCAGACAGGCACTTTAATGATGAAGGACAGCCTTGTGTCTCATTCTGGAAGATTCGAACTCTTTTTCGTCAATATAATGTGTCTGAAAAGTCATATCGCATCACTTACCCATGTGATGAGTGTCCAGCTGAACCGTGGGCATTTCCTTCAGCGTTACGTGGCCACTGTTATTGTCTCCGCAACAGCCAAAACAGCACGGAAATAAAGCTGCCATTATGGTATTTCTCACGCAACAAAACCTTTAGTTAAATAATGTAATTATGTTCTGTTGAATTGTTTTATGGGGTTATCTGTGCTATAAATCAAAGGAGGTCATTTTACTCTGCCTAGATGCTAAGCTAACCGGATATGACGTATGGAAAGGCTTTTTTTCCTCATAATTAAAAAAAATATATTTCCAGGATAGTTCAACGGCGACCTCTAGTGACCAACCGACGGGAGATAAAACTCGACCAAAAAATCCTGTTATCATTAATGTGACTTTCTTTCTTCCATGTCGAACTGGAACACAAATCTAGTTGTTAGGCAGAAAGTTATGGGCTGACACGACTCAGGCACGATTATGGTATAATTTTGATATTATGAAACAGACTGTTCAGTGTTGCCAGATTGGAAATGTCCGTAGGCCTACCAGATGCTTAAAATGTTCGTATTTGTGAAGAAAATGATAGCAAACGAGCCAAACGTACAGAATACAGCTATTATAGACCAACAACTTTTTGACACGACCTGAAAAAAAAATGTCTTTATTGTTGCTAAACTATCGCTGCTAAACTAAACTGACCTAAGCACAGTGGCAGGAACGTTAACTTGTGTTAACTTTTTTCTTCTTCTTCTTGCAAAACATACAGAGATGACATGTTTATGATTTTTCTATACAATATACAAACAGAAAATTAACTTGTGCTCGGGAGTCATTCTCCACGATGATTGGCTGAAAAGACATTATCACTTTGAAATCGTTTTTTTATATATTTTAGCTTACCTCAAGGGCATCCAAGATGTAGGTGTCTTTGTTTCCACAGTATTTTCAATTTTGATATTTTTAGGTCAAACCGTTGTAGTCTGTCAGTCATATAATGGAGGTCTATGGTCACCAACCCAAAGAGCATGCACAGAGAAGTCCAAATTAAGCATGATTTAATGACTCGTAAATGTAAGTACACACTGATGGCCTAAGACACGAAACGAGCGGTTATCAATGTGTATCAATGCAACGAGCGCAGACAGAGGCGCCCTCGCCCTCAGAGTACTTAGACGTGACTGTGATTACAAGAGGTAAAAACGATATAAATACTGTTCGTTTTCTCACACAAACCGCTCATTTCGTGTCTTAGGCCATCAATGTCTACTTACATTTATGAGTCATTAAATCATGTTTCATTTGGACTTCTCTGTGCATGCTCTTTGAGGTGGTGACCATAGACCTCCATTATATGACTGACAGACAAGAACGGTTTGACCTAAAAATATCAAAATTGAAAATACTGTGGAAACAAAGACACCTACATCTCGGATGCCCTTTAGGTAAGGTAAACATATCAAAAATTAATTTCAAAGTGAACTATCCTTTTAACTTTGGAAGACAAGTGTTTATGTTCTTCTCCACAGCTAGATCAATGAGTATAGAAGCCCTATGATTATTTACCGTACATTATAAGATTTTTTCATTAGAGATCAAAATTATCGTACAAATACGATAGTTATCGTACATCTTGCAAGTCAACACTGTTACTGTTTCTACTTTTACTTTATGTCTGCAAGTCTGGATATGTGTGTGCGCGCGCACGCAGAATGTGCGAGACAGAGCGCGCAAATATGAAGGATCGGGATCGATGTGACCTTAAAAGCTTTTAACCTGCTCTCTGCCACTCAGTTACAGCTGTGAAGTTTTGCATAGCAACAACCTTACCGCTCGAAAGTAAGGGGGTATCTATATCTGACCAACTTCTTTCAAAAACGAAAATATATATATACTTGTGTTCACATTGCCTATTATTTGCTCTCACATCAAAGACTGGTTTAGTTAAAAAAAATTGAAGAAAAAAATTGCTTGGTACTTGTGTAATACTTAACGTATATATTAACTTTTGCTTGTTGTTGTTGAAGTTGCTAGTGTTGAAATCTGCACAGCAACAAGCGCCATGATTGCGTTTGCAGAGTACCCTGGTAACTGGCGCGCGCGGTTTCTATCCAATAAAAGAGCGCGTGATGTGTTCGCACTTATGCGGTGGAACTGTTTTACCCAACATCCCTACTTTTCATGGGATTATTGCATTAATGTAGAAACTAATTATTGTGACTAACATCAGGGTCTTGTCCTTTGGGGTGACTAGTAAGCAGATGTCGAGGTAAATGGACCAAAAAAGGTAAAGTAGTCACAATATTTTTTTTATCATGGTCTCCCTGTCGACCTTTTTTATTTATTTTTAATAATATCTGATTTAGCTTATGCTATTTTTATAATTCATAAATAAATACCTAGTAATACGAGAGAACGTTTTAATTTGTAACTTTTTAGTGAGTATAGACTTCTAATAACTTTATCGAAATCTAGGCTACATGTTGTAAATTTGAGGTGCAGGTGATGACATATAGCCTATGAGGTAATATTATGAGCTCTGATGCTTTTGCATTACTAGTTAACGTTAGAAACTGCAATGAGATGCTCAGCATAAGCGCACTTATCTGCGAGCCTTAGCTTTTTTGAATGACAACAAACCCGTTATTTTCAGAACTGCCCAATCAGATTTCAGCATAAACCTGCGCGTTGCTCAGCTGTGACACTCCAAATGAGATTTCTGTGGAAATTACCGGGGAGGATCTCGCCGTACCTGCCAAGAATAGCTTATTCAGAAAAAGTAGCCCTTTTTAGTGCACCGCTTCAGAAATTGTTCAGTGCGTTTTCTAAAGTACAGTATTCAAGCTCTAGTTCAGCCTAGGGAAGAAATAACCTCAGTGACATGACAAGGGAGTGACGTAAAAGCAGAAGAAAGTGACGTGGTCTCTGCCCTATTTTTGATGCATCACATTCGACAATTTCATTGATTTCACTCGTGCCTGCTTTTATGTAATCCTATGTACAATATAAATTGACGTGTCAAATAAGGGCATCTCGTTTTAACGACTAACGAATCCATTTCAGATGATGTTGAAGGCATCACGTTCAACACCAGTTTCTCGGTATTAAAAAAATGCGGTTATATAACCACAAGTGACCAATCACATATCAGAATAAAATGCTTTTATAGATTTGTTTTAATGTGTTCTGTTTATTGGTGATGTTTATGCTGCAGGTTTCACACAACTTTGCTTTTTTTTTGTTTTTGTTTTTTGCTTCAGGCAAATTCCATTCATTTTTAATTCCATTTAACTAAATTAGTAGCGATTATCTTTATTGTGCGACTTTAATACACATAACCATTCAGTGCAGATGATTTATCATTAGTTTTTGTAATGATACGTGCAGTACAAGTATAAATAGGCTATTAGTATAAGGTCTGTTAAAACTTTATACGTTATATTCACTAGTCTCAACCAAACAGTGCTAGCCTTGGACGCCACAGACGATTTTAAATTATAGTTGATGGTTGCTCATAGATAGAGAAATGGCCTTTTTGCGTGTTAGCGTACCTTGATGCTGGGTTTAACACATTTATCATGTTCATTTTTTATTATTAAGGACCCTATGCTTCGTCGTCCAACATAATCAAGGTTTCCTTTAAGAAATGTTTCTGCAAAAAGCCCATGCTGAAGACAGATAGCGAAGCCCTGCGAGGTTCAGGTAACGTTACATAACAAGCGAAGTGTAAATGTGGCCAGATACTAGAGTTAACAGTGTTCTTAACTCACTTCTTAATAAAGTTAATTGAATTTTGGGGCTACATTTTATTCAGGGCAGGCGCGTCTCTGCGGTATTTGTCCAGACGTATCCCTCAAGGCAACTATAGGTCAACTTTGTGTTTCGAGTCGAAGTGCCCTCACAAGTTTTAGATGTACAAGCATTTCTTACAACGCATTGTCATCCTTCATTAGCTTATCTGACCGTTTTTAGTGCAATTGGTCCGAGTGAACGTAACCTGGACACGATTTGAAGGTTTCCTCAATGTCGCCTGAGGAGAAAACATACTGAGGGAAAGAAACACGAGAATAAAACCCAGCGAAAAGTGCCAAAGGAGGATGATCTAACTGGTGATTCATTCAGTACCCCTTCTCTAAATCTTAACTCAAAAGAAAAACAGGGGTGATCCGAAAACCTCAAGCCAGTTAAAGTTCCCAGAAGATGGCGATGCTGCGTTATTAAAAATGTAGAAAAGATGGAAGGTACATTTACTGACGTGATGATGTTAACACTACACTACACTTTTTTACAACAGTCTTCAGCTATGTGCTTCGTCCAAAACAGTTATCGGTAACTTATTAATACAGTCTTGTTTGTTAAAATGTGTTGAGAAATGCTATAGATTTATAGTTTTGGAAGAAAAAAAAACGGCACAATTTGCGCACAGCGCGCGCGGCTCTGCAATTAATCTGACTTGATGCAATTGTTGTGATTTTAATGCTTTTAATTGTATTTCCGGTGTACATACATTATCAACGAGCTCAAATCACTTTTACAGAAGCATCTGACCAATTAAAAAAAAAAATCACATTAACAAGTATACTCATCACATGTCATGTCATCGCTTCTCAAGAGAATAAAAGCAATAAAACGATTAAAAGAATAAAAACACCGGCATGTAATTAGTCAGTCGTTGGTTTTCCTGACGAGATGAGGGATCCCGAAGCACAGACGGTAAACGGCCCGCCTAACTCCAGCAGCACGGTCAATACTGGAGGATTCGCTAGTGCTTTGACTCCAATATTTACGTGCTGCTACAGCCAGGCAGCCAGTCAGTCAGTCACTCACACGGCCAAGTTCAGGAGACTTATTGGCACACGTGGTGGTGGTGTTGCTGCTGCCGTTCTTGCCTACTTCACCTTCCTTCTGTCCTTTTCACCCGTTTGTGTGCGTCTGTCCTGTTGTTCTTGCCGCAGCACAGTACGGCCTGCACCCCCGTTATAACTCACAAACCATTCTGTGCTGCTACAGTACCGACAGGCCCCGCACAGGGCGCGCGCTCACGCACTCACGCGAGGCGCGCCCACACAGCCGCGCACACACGGCCCTCGTTTCGCAATCTGAAAACACAGGACCAACAAAAATACATGAGTGTTTATATATTTTTAATGAGTCGTGAGTGTCAATATTCATACATTATGATGTCAAAATGATATGCTTGCTCAGAACATTATAATCTTAAATCAAAGATAGGAATAAAATGACAAGCTGCGATTTTGATTAAAACGTGAGACTTCCTCGGCTTATAAGTGGGCTGTTATTTCTCACGTTTGTTTTCTTTGAGATGGAGGTCATTGAGAAAAGTGCACAAGTGTAATTTGTTTTAAAACGTTTCAGGGGTGAAGTAAAGATATTTCTTTAGTTTTTGTTTTAAATGGAAACCTAAATAAGGTCAAGGTCAAATGCATTGTTTTCCGGGTTTAAAAGTGTAAGATCACGAAAAGCTTTGAGTTTGACAAATGTACAAATTAAAATGAGAATCTGTTTTAGAAGATATACAACTTTTATTTTCACAAAATGTAACATTCTTGCTCAATACAAGTATATATTTTAACTTTTTTTCTTCTTTTTTTTAACAGCACATTTCTATTCTATGGTGATGAGTGGATATTTCCGGAGAAGTACCCATCACAAAATCTATTTGCATAATCTTGATCAGATGTGATAATACAGTACCTGTTCTGAGAAAAACATGATATTCACACCATTCTTACACAACCTCTCTAATGAAATCACAATTGCCAGGTAAGTGTGCACCATGATTAAAAAGTGACTGTTAAAACATATAAAACTGAGTGTGTTCAAACAAGAAAGCAATTTACTGACGCTGTCTAAGTTGTACATATTCAATATAAGATTTGCAAGTGTATTCATCGATGTAATTCTAATCAGTCAAGACATGCATTTTATGAGTAAGCGGAACAACAAGGTTTCGATCTGTTTTGCCAAACTATATTTGACATGACTCTTATGCGAAGTCTTGTGTGCAAAGTGCAAAATAACTGGACTAATAATAACAGTAATTTCAGGCATGACTAACTTGCAATATTTATCATGTTGTGTTTTTGTAAACCCCGCCCCCAGGTTTCTGTTCATTCTGTATACGCTCATGCGCTTTTGCACCAGGTGAGCCAATACTGACAAAAAACTTTTGGTGTAACAAGCAAGAGGACAATGGAGCATCTGCTGTCTATAAGGCTAAAATTACAGGTTATGAAAAGAGCCCCATTGACTTTTCAGGGGATGTGTGTGTGGGGGGGGGTATAAAAGCATTCCCTGACAAAGCCTGTAACCTCCCACATAATAATATTTACTTGTGTTGTTTACTCTGTCTCTTTGCCTTTCAGTTTATTGTTGCTTTTTCTTTGTTTGACAATAGAAAAATGAGTTTTATATAGATTTTCTTTTATGCATATCAGAAATCCGCCTGTTTTCAACACTGTATTTTTACACCCAATAGCTAATATAGTTGAAACTTCAGTCAGTGGTGTACTTACAGTTAGTTGACTTTGTCACAGCTCACTGTCATGCCGTGTGCTCTACATTCCTTTCCTGGAGAAAACAAAAATAAAGGGATATTTATGTAGCACAAGTTTTGACTCTTATGTTTCTTAAAGTATAATTTCAGGTAAAAAAAAAAAAAAATACAAAAGTGTACCATCTGCATAGCATGCAGTGTATTATTTTACTGGACTAGTCTAGTGTAATTATGTGCTAGTATATTATACAAAATATTTAAATGAATGCAGCATAATCTAGTTTGAATATAAATTCTTACGTGTCATGGTTTGTGACTCTGTGTGTGTGTGTGTGTGTGTGTGTGTGTGTAATTTCTAACATCCTCAACAAATAACACCGGAATACCACCAAGGCTATAATAAGGCACAAAATCTGTGGTTTAATTACACACACACACACACACACACACACACACACGTATATAAATATATATATATATATTTATTTATTTATATTTAGTGTGTGTGTGGGTGTGTGTGTGTGTAAACAACACGCATCTCTATTCGAAATACAAAGGATATCTAAACTAAAGGACAAATGTCACAAAGTACATTTTAATAATGCACACAAAAAATATAAATGTAAAACTTGATCTAATACTGGCACACTTTTTGAAAAACTAGCTAACTTTTACAGGATATCTTGAAAGCACACAGATGTTCAAGCAACAAAAAAAACCATATAATTTCGGCTTAATGACTTAGAAACATCAACAACTAAAAATTAGGTCCCACTTTATATTAAGTGGCTACACTTACACTGAAACTAATAATTAGATACAATGGACTTAGTGTACATGCATGTTTTTACATTGTACTTATATTTTTAAAAATACCAGCAAGAAATTACACAGTTGACCCTCTCCTTACACCGACACACACCACCACACCAGTCCCTAACCTTACCCATATCACACCTCAATAGCAGCTTAATTTTTCGAGGTAAGTACCACTTAATATAAAGTGGGACCAAAAATTATTTTACACTAACAAATATTATAAATTAATTCTTTTTACTAATGAGAACTATACCAATATCGCATTCATAAAGGCATAAAGCTCAATGATTGTTTTCATGAAATTGTCTCAATATTAACTGACTCACAGTGACTGAATAGGGTAATTATTAAACCTAAAATCCCATCCAAATAAAGTTAATTTACACATTCAAGTAATTTACATTACAACTTGTGTACCCAGATAAAACATACTCAACCAAAATAATTTATTTGATTACCCTGGTGACGTGAAGGGGTTCGTCTGATTAGTGTATTTTTATGAGGCTGCAGTTAGATGCGTTGCTCCCTGTAACTTCGTATGCCAGAAGTTAGCAGAGAAACATTCACTTCCTACCACAGAAAGGGGAAGCTGCTCCCATAATTTCATTTGCTTTTACAAGAGTAACAGGCAAAGGGGGCAAAGCTGCACATAAGTGTGTGTGTGACTGTGAAAGCACACTTCTACACACAAGAATGGGATAGAAGAAAACAATCTGACATTTAGTTTTATCTTTGTGCATGTGTACTGTACTGTACATGCGAGTGTACTCCTGAAAACTACAAAATACAATAAAATTTAGCGCCGTCAAACGATTAATCGCATCCAAAATAAAAGTTTGTGTTGACATAATATATGTGGGTGCACTATGTATAATTATTTTATATATGAAGAGTTCAGATGCAAAAGCCTCTAAATGCCATTTGAAATTTTCTTCTAAAATGATCATTTTTATCAAGCTTGTATATTTAAGTTCAGTAATTTCACTTAAATGGCAATGAAGATTACCTATTAATTGTCATTTAAGTGAAATTACTGAACTTAAATATACAAGCTTGATAAAAATGATCATTTTAGAAGAAAATTTCAAATGGCATTTAGAGGCTTTTGCATCTGAACTCTTCATATATATATATATATATATAAATACACACACATGCTTGTATATATATTTAAGAAATATTTTCATGTATATACTGTATATAGATTTATATTATATATAAATATAAAATATTTTATATAAATAATATTTCTTTCTTAAATATACATGCGATGTGTGTATATATATATATATATAATAATTATACACAGTGCATATAATGTAAACACAAACTTTTATTTTGGATGTGATTAATCGCGGTTAATCGGTTGACGGCCCTATAGTGTAACTTATTGTACTTGTCACTATATTTCAAAATAAAGCACAGGACGCTTGAATATACAACCAATATACAACACTACAACACTAAACTACGCATTTTTTCTTGCACAATTTACAATTCATAAGATGTTACCAATTTATTATTTGGTCAGTCTTAAAGGCGCTGAATGTCTGACATTTTTTATATTCATTTTGTTGTATTGCATTTGTACATGAAACATTACAGCACAAAAGCAATATGCAAGTCATATGAATTTAGCAAAAAAAGCACTTTAAATGGTGGTATACAGAGCCAGTCCCCGTAACAAGTGCATTTCCCCTGGTATAACGTCAGATAGGAGCAGGCCTGGCAGCACATGTAGTGCTAAGAAGAGCTTACAATGAAGAGCTCAGGCTGTTTGGCATCAGAAAGCTCGGCTGGCGCTGTGTTCCTCTTAGCAGATAGCTTTGTAATTGACACTCAGATCAAGATTTTCATTTCTGTGTTTCGCATCTAAATGATCGTTTACAAAAGGACACACACAGATACACACCCACCAAGAATCGAGAGTCCTCTGCCTCTGATCTTGCTGAGCAAACAAACACACAAACTGAGGCCTGAGTTAGGCCCGAAAATCTTTTTTCATACCCATCGGTTTACCAGCAAGTGAAGCTATGAAATCAAAAGCAAACGCCCCAACATTCAGGCTTCTTGATAATAAAACAGCCAAGTGACTCGTCTTGTTTTCCCTTCGAGCTACAACTTCAACCAACTTCTCTGAATCTTAGAGGCCTTTCGATAACTTTGTGGGCACGTTGAAATGAGCTAACAGCACAAAGAGTGTGTGTGTGGTGACACACACGCACACACACATCTGAAACCTCAAACTCATTTGGGGACTAGTTCTGCATTTACAGTACTTCAAAGAGTCACTATCAAGCATATTCAGAGCAAAGGGACATTAATATAAAAAAATAAGTTATATTATTAACATAATAAATCACTTAAAAACCAAATTACACAATGTGAAAACTATCACAATCAATGCAAGTAATATAACCGGTGATGATGCCTCAAATTAATTTAAATAGCGCAACAAAATATCATAAATGCTATGGCCATAATAACCTAATGTAATTATATTTACCTCCATTTTAGTTGTCACTGAAGCCGAGAGGTTATATAAGCCTACAATCCTGTTATAATTGCGAGAAAGACGCATCATAATGAACTAGTACAAGTCAAAATGAACTATCATGGTTGTGATTAACATGTCACGGTCACAGAGACACATGAGGGAACAAGCTAACGCCCACTAAGATCAAAGTTTATCACGGTAAAATTTGGAGAATTTCTACTTTGTGACAAATTTGTTGCAACTGGCTGAAAATACTGTAAATGGACCTTGAAGGGACAGATAAGCGTTTAACAAAATACAACACTGTTAATAATATACATAGCCTGCCTGCCACTGCCATTAATAAAAATGACTTACAGGCCTGACTAATAATATCAAATAAAATCTTCGGCCTTGAGGAATTTATTTACTAGCAAATGCTAAATTCGAATCAAAAACAGGACTTAAATGTGCTAAAGAGAATATTATGTTTCTCTTATTATTGTATACTTTATTATCTAATATCGAACACCTATAACGTCATTATCCAAGGTAGTTTAGCTGGCTGATATCAAAGAAACGCTGTAACTTTTAGTTAGAAGAGAAACTCAATGTAAAGTGGTCTAAGTGGGTCATTGTCATAATGTCCAGCCTCTGCTCGTTCACAATAGACCAATGAGGGATCACCTCATGACCACAATTGCACACTGACATGAAATTATAAACACACAAAGAGGGGGGGGGGAGGATTTACAATCCTCACACTAACAAGTTACTAGTGTGACATTCAAATATATGTGTAAAATGTACTCAAATGTAAGGTATCGTTTTGTTTGTTTGCATTTATAAATAATCAGTTGTATTTGTTTGTTTGTACAGGTCGTGAATGAAGAGACCCAGGCGCAGCATTCAGTCGTGAAAGAATAGTTGTTGTTGTTGTGGCTGGACCCGCAGTGACTGAGACATGCCGCCATGCCAATATCTGTTTTATACATTCCTCATATCCTTTATCTAGTACACTGGAAGCCATCTTACAACATAAAGTTATAAAAAAAAAATGTATACTTGTCTTATTTTGGGTTCATGTTTTAATGAATTTAAGTTTCATGTGAATGTGTGTACAGTGTGTGTTGAATAGGTAGTCTAAATAGCAAACTTTAATAATTAACTAATACCAATTTTACAATAAATCCACTACAGAAACATACTAAAATTATGAAGTGTACAGTAATCATATGGTTATATATAATTAAGGAGATACTGACATATATAAATAATCCCTCTTTTTAGACAAAAAAAACAACAACAACAACAACATTGGTGACCGAGCGATTGCACTGCAACATGCAATGACTAGGTCTACATTAAACCATGGATTGTTTTTTATTTTTTTGCAATAAAAACACTTTTGCGAACGCTACTGGTCAAGCTCAACAATATATATATATATATATATATACATATTACATATATACTGTATATATTTGCTTACTTGCAAATATATAATATTAATGTCTTTCAATAATTTGCATGTTGCAGTGCAATCGCTCGGTCACCAATGTTGTTGTTTTTTGGGTTTTTTTGCCAAAAAAGAGGGATTTTTTATATATGTCAATATCTCCTTAATTATATAACCATACGATTACAGTACACTTCATAATTATAGTATGTTTCTGTAGTGGATTTATTGTAAAATTGGTATTAGTTAATTAGTCGCCTTGCTTTAGGCTTGCTTAGTTGGGGACATTTAATATTCACTATTATTATTGATCTGTGTT